AAATAAATAAGAAACAGGGTAAAAATGTTTGAAAGGTAAAAATTGAGTGTGTCTAAGACACTGAGCTATTACATTCTAGTTTTTAGACATTTGTTTCCGTATAATTGCAAGAAAGTTAATACCTTATCAAAAGTAGGCCGACAGCTAGTGAATTTTTTAAATGACGTCATGTCGTTGTCCTGCTATCTCTAACTTTTTAAAACCCATCACTTTGTTCAACCAATTTCGTATGCCGGGATAGAAAGTTAACATGTGTATCTCATAACTCTTTTCTCGATTATCATGATGCCCCAATTTTATGTAAATGTTCAATTTCTTTGCCAAGGGTATCAAAGCTCGTTTCATCTTTACTTACTCAGTGGTTTTATCACAATCGATGGTTCAAAGACATCTATGACAGGATACCTGTTATCCGCATATAATCTTTATCCTTAAGAACAATATCTACTTACCGTACAGTATTACGTATCACACTACTATTCAATATACTTTATGGCACCGAGTACCTCTCGTACAGCAAAACTTGTGAAACTATGTCAAAATCTCATTGGTAGTCTGACTAAAGGGAGTTATTCAACTTCTTAAATGAAGTTAATGATTGAGGTGTAGTACGTAGTGTAGACAGTTACTAAAGCAGGTGCTAGGCCTATAAAATTTTTTCAAGTTGTCGATTTGGGCATCTTTTCAAAATTTTAAGACAAAGTTATCTCGCTTCTTGGCTCTACGCTTTTTAAAGGATCTCTTAGGAATATATGAATTCAAGATAAATCAGACATGAAGAGAAGTAATTCCATCAGTGTTATTTATAGACGTTCCTTTTAGTTTTCACCTGAAACAATAATTCTCTGTGAGCTGTTGCACAACCTTATATTTTCAGGAGTGCAATGAATTTTTTCGCTACTTATTAACTCGGAAATTTCTCTATAGCAAACTACTCTACTAACAGATTTCCAATAAAATTTTAATGGCTCTTTGGATGACATGAAATTTTAATTCAGTCTATTACTGAAATTCTCAAAATTTTTTTATCCATTAAACTTAGTAATCCATGTCTTTCAATTCCTATCAGGTTGAAATGCTCACTGTTTTTTTGTCATTTTCTTCAGTGTCATTATGTTTCTGCTCAATTAAAAGTTTACAATAAATGCGTGTCAGAACAATAAAAATAAAATTCTAGACGTAGTGGGTAGGGTTGTTCTAATATTTGATCAGTTAAAATGTTTGACTGAGAGGCGATACTATAAAGTAATTATGTGTTCACTCTGAATTAGAATTACCATAAATGTGAGTAAACATAAATACGATGCCAATGTACTAATAACTTATAAGTAACATTGGGAACGATTTGGTTAACAGTCTAGTTCTTTGAATTCTGTCGCTACTAAAAACAGATAGACGTAAATTTAGATTTTATTAATAAAAATGTTTACAATCAAGTACATGGAATAAACATTGAATACAATAAAGCTAAAAGAAATACTTATTAAAAATAACTTACCAGATGAACTGTCATTCTAGATTTTAATATGTCGTCTTACTACGTGTACTGTATTGTGTTTTGCTTGATAATAGACACAAACTAATGGTTATAAAATATTAAATGAGTGGTCTGTTTGACATGTTTTTCGGTATTATATCAACATTAAAAACAAACAAGCTTAATGATTAGTTAAACTAAAAATCCTAAATTTCGTGGATGATTACGTGGTTTGATGAGTAAACTTGTGAACAGAATAATCTATGATAAGAGAAATGGTAACTTTGATCTTTAACTCATTCTGTACTGTATTTTTATTTATCATCATAGTGTTTGTCAATATTTCATTAAAGCATTATACTTAGATTACAGAATTTTGTAGTATAACTGAATTATTCGATAGGTATGATCAGTTATATCTTGTACGCTTTTAACTAATTAGCTTATATTAGTATCGTATCTAATCAGACTCATATAAGTCATTTTAAAGTGTTTTTGCTTAGTTGATGGTAACAATTCGAGATTAAAATAATATAATATGCAATTTGAAATATGAATTGATTTCCTCTTATGTAAATTGCTTATTTCACTCCATTTGTTTCTATGTTATATGACGAATCACTTTTTAAATTTATGAATCAGATGATATTCGGATGAATTTCATTTTTAAAAAATGTAATATTTAATACGTTTTGTTAACATATATTAAATAACATTCAGTAAGGTTTTATGTCATTAATCTGATTTACACAAAATGTTATTCTCTTAGTCAAGACGATTTTTCTATAAAGAAAATTAAACGAATAAATTTACAATTTATTTTAAACTAATCTCAAAATAATATCTGCTAGGATGCTTTCCAACACTGAAAGAAATTGATCTTCAAAGAATTAACAAAGACATTTTAAATCAATATATTAAAAAAGTAAAGAAATGTAATCTATTCTATCATATTTGAAATTTGTTCCAGTATTGTTCCGTTGATTACATAGTGCACACATTCTAATGATATACTAATGAACGCCAGTAATATAATCTGTTACAGTTTTCTATATTATTGCGTTAGTAGATAATATCTCTGTCAATAATTAAAAGTATAAATACAAGTCACTTAAAGTGAACGAGAATTCAGGTGTGGGAAAACAATGTATTGTTTACTGCAAAATTACAGAGTGGCTTGATAAAATAATGAGAACCATACACTAAATACATTATTTTGTACATCTTCCTTCAATTGTTCATTATATACTTACTATAACACGTTCAGTCATCTAGTGTAATTCTATTCTCAATAACTTTGCCTGGTTTTACTATTTTTCCCATGAATCTTGGCTATGATTAAGCTTAGTGCGATTAGGTGAGTAACTTTTAAATATTTTCATTAATGGATTACATGGGATTAACTGATAAAAATCTATCTACGAAACTTATTAAGTTACTTTTAGAATGCAACTTGCTCATCTTTATCAGCCTACAGCCTATCCGATACAACAAAATCTAACTTGTAACATATGGTGTACCACAGACTAACATATAAAGTAGAAAAATATAAATATCGTGAACTTTATGGAACAAACTAAAAATATCATTGAGAATAATTCTTTGATACGATTTGTTCGACCACCAAACGAACACACAATTACTATATATAGCATACTATGTTTACACCATACCATATGATTTTCTTCCATTGATGAGTATTGGGCAAATAATTTCGTATGTACATGAAATTACTTTAATTGTCTTGTATTACTTGAAATATTTTGATCAACTCTGAATGAGATTCATTTTTAGTATTCATTTATTGAAATCCAAATATCATGGCATAATAAATAAAACAAAAAATGTTTCGCACAAAATTCAAATCTATTTATCTTGGTCAGATTCATAATCGTTAATAATTTTCGATGATTACTGTTTCTGAAATTATCTATTTATAAACTAAGAATTGGTGAAGAATAAAGATAACTAGGATCCAAGTTTATTATTATCATAGACAAAGAAAAAAGTGTGAGTATGAAATTCTTTTCATAATATTGCTTCTTTTAAGTTGAACACTTCTATTATGTAAGATTGATTCACGTCCAGGACAATATTATCAGATTTGAGCTACCGTAAATTTCATAAAACTCAAAAATCCTAGGTACAGATATTTTCTCATTGTTTATTAAATATTGTGTATTTTTCAATAAATATTTTATTGGAACCAAATAGCTATATAATAGAAATTTTCTATAACACTACGAATAGTACTGACTTCCAATTCTAGATATTTCTTTTATTTCTAAAAATATCCGTAGACAATCTTCCTTTTCAATTTTGCACTACCAAGTAAAGCTATCGAAAAGTGTACAACAGTTGATTAAATTTTAAAGAGAGCGAGAACAAAGGTTGGTGCAGAATAATATGAATTCATTTTTTTCGTTAGGAGAGCCTACGTCCGATTCAAAGAACATATTCCGAAGGGTTTGAGATCAAACGGACTAAAAGCATTCAGTAGAGCTATCGCGAGACATCTCCTTGACACAAGACATGAAGTCGATATGCTGAAGTCCTTCAAGGTGATCAACAAACAATCAAATTCAAACCTTTTGAAATTTGCCGAAGCGATAGCAATCAAACGTTTAAAACCAGATCTTTGTATACAAAAAGAAACAGTAATAAATCTTTCTTTGCCTTGGTAACATTAACCTCCCCCCTTTTTGTTTATTATGTCATTCCAACTTTTTCTGAATTTTATAATTACATCATTCATAACTGACCAATTTCAATTCATATCTCTCTTCATTACCATTAATCTATTTGCAGTTACTTCATTACATAATAATCTAATGTATTTTACTTCCATGAGTTCTAATCACTATTTCAATCTTATTGAACCTTCCCTCCCAAACTCTGTATATTCAAAACAAAAATTTTATGACCTCATTAACTCTAACGGAATCTTTGCTACATCATGCTACACATATTCATCCTTCATCACCTGATGTATAAGTATGTCAATATCTGTAATAACGTTGAATTTCAAATATTTTAGGTTGTAAGTAGCTGATGAGAACCTAACGAAATAAAATGAATTCATATTATTCTTCACCAATCTTTGTACTTGCTCTCGTTAAAATAATAATGGGAACTATGTGTATGAAAGTTGATTAAATGTTTTGTTCTGGTAAAATTTACAGTTAGCATGTTTCATTGTTATATTGTAGTATCTTCGAAACACCATCATCAGTAGTTACTATCATTCTTCGTTATTTTTGATTAACCGTAATTGAGATTATTTAGATTAATAGAATTATATCAGACAATTTTGTTTATTCACGAGCAACCAAATTAATTTCATTGTCTTCGAATACTTAAATTTTCGTTAGTTTCATTTGTCACAATATAGAACAAATTTGTTTATGTTCTGAACTAATGTGTCTAGATAAATTAGTAATCCGAATTGTATCGATGTTGTTTTCCTAGCTTTCATTCATCTTCTAACATATTCTTGGATTTTTTTCATTTTACTTTTTTTCAGTCTATTTCACCGTACATTTCTGCGTTGTATCAATCCTCTCCACATGATTCCCCACTTCGTTCACAACCTGACAGAATTTATTTTACGTCACCAACTGAATGGACATGTAGTCGGTCTGAATTATCCAAATGGTTAGATCGATTGGCTTCATGTTTTGATGCAGCTTTCTATCCATCTGGTGGTACACCAATATCTGTATTAAATGATAATGAAAATTTGTCTACCAATTCTGACTCAGTACATTCACTTGTAAGTAATAAGAGCCAGAATGGTATATCGTTCAATAACAGAGTAAACAATCAACAACACTATCGTCGAACACATCAACAATCGAATCAATTAGTACCTAATTTACAAAAATATTCAGAAACTAGTGATTTGAGTATGTCAGGTGGTGATTCAGATATGGATAATGAATATTATTCAGGGTATAATAAACCAGTACAAATGAAAAACATCAATCTTCCGGATGATGAAGTATTCTCAACAGATTGTTCAAAACATAATACAATGCAATCTATAGACCATAGTTTTTCACATCATTCAATGAATTCAACAATGAATCGTTTAGAGGCTATATTTTGGCGTCGATTATTAGCTAATATTTCTTATGAAATACTGAATACTATACTTTTCACAGGTAACTTGGTAAATATTCACTTTTGTATTTTTGAAAATATTTATACATTAATAAAATGTAGTGAGATCTTTTACATTCAAATGTATCGTACAAGTTTTTAATAGGACCCTGAAAGTAGTTTGGCAATTGATAGATAACTACTAAAAAGTTTATGAACATATTACTACTTATATCGATTATTAGCTAAAATGGCCTTCAACTTATTAAAAAATATAATGCTTTCTATCATTTTGATTTTTACGTGATCGTTTTATAAAAACATAATAACACGTCTACTTTTAGGTAGTTTCTCAAAGTTTTTCAGACATTATATAAAACTCTTAATCATCTTAAAGATTCATATTTTTAATGGTCATTTGCCATCTGGTTATGAAAACAGAAAAAGTAAAATATGGGGGTTAATCCTCATCACTAACTTTTAACAAAAGCGAATCGATTGAAGCGTTAGCAAACATTGGAGAAATATTTTCTTCGAATTTGCTACTTTTTAACGCTGCGTTCTATACAGAGTCAAACTCATAATTCTTAAGACTTGCAATGAGGAAACAACTTTAAACCAAAAATTTAGTATGTAATATTCAGTTATTTATAAGTCAAAGCTACTTGGGCTCTAGGTGATTTTGTACTGAAAGTAATTAAAACTAAATCGAAATAGAACACTTCAAAAACTTTTTATTTATATTTGCTAAGGTATTACTGTTTGTTTCTTCCTAGAATTATTAATAATTTGAAAACTAATTATGCACTACAAATGTGTTAGAAATTTCCAAACTATTTCATAATGTTGAGTTTTCAAAATTATGAGGAACTAGTGTTATCTAATTTTCAAATCTCTAATATTTGTTTTTTCAGTCCATATTGCGTTTCTATGTGCGTTATACGTTTCTGCGGATTTTAGTTAGTTTGTTGAAAGTTCATTCAAATAATAAGTTGCTAACTGAACGGTGAGCCATATAGTGAATTAGAAAACGCAAACTGCCAACTCATTACATGACATACTTGATGTGCTAAGATCGAGTATATTGTTTAGATCTACGAATCGAATTACGGGGAGAAGAGGTTGAACCTTTAATCTGTAAGCTTGAACTGCTGAAACATTAATCCATAAACCTAGATTATGTCAACATTTAGATGAACATTCCATGGAAAGCAGTTTGAATATGATATTCAGACAAACGAGTCCATGTTTTGTGTTCAGCAATGAAAATATTTGGTACACATATATCAACTACATATTGTTTAGATATCTGAAATCAAGTACACATCACTTGAAAGCCTACAAACTTTCTAAAATGTAGCGTATAAGCTTAATCTCAATTCTAGATTTGTTTGAACAGCTTCTAGTTAGAAATTTTCGCACTCTACGTCACTACAAGTGCACTTTTAACGTCAGTGTTTGAACAAATGTTTAAATTATGCACCATATATTTGCTTTGATCTGCAGCATTTTACAATAGTCCACACTAACTTACTGTAGATTTATTTCATAATTATCTAAATAAACTATGAAACTTTTCGAGAGATATGTTACCAATACCTGAAAATTTATGTGTACACATCAACACTTTTATTCTTTACTTTTCACGTGCTTACGTTGATCAGAGTATCGTCTAAGTATTGATCTCACTACTAAACGTGTTGTGCGAAAAAACGTGAGATTTTCATAGTTTTCTCCACAATGTCGAATTAGAACTGATATTCATAATTACCCTCACGTTGTGATACATATATATCAAGTCATGACAATTGATTATCAATTTTATTTTTATAAATGAAGAAAATCGCTACATAATTCATTCTACACGTACGTTTCTTTAAGTACTATCGATAAAACAAGTTCCGAATTGATTTTTCATGAAATCAGTCTATGCTACATTTATTCACTTATGAGCATAAAATATTCATTTTAGATTTTTAATCATCATACTTTAAGTCTACTAAAGAAATAAGCATTCAAATAATTATGAAGGAACAAAAACTGTTTGTAGTCTACTCATGAAAACTAAAAAATCTAAACCAATTTGTGATTTTGTAATCGCAAAAACTGCATTTTAATCTGTAAACATTTCTGCAATTTATGTAGTCAAGAAATAGGAATGAATTTGTTTGCTGATCTTGGTTAAACCTTCCAAAAAGTTAATCATTTAGTTAGTCAATATTAATCCCTGTGGAAACTGACAGCATTGTGTATCAGTCTAATTCATTACATTAGTTTGGCCAAAGAAAATGAACGATCTGAGATGCAGAAGAAAGGAAATGATTTTAAATGTAGTAAAAATCTAAACAAGTGAAGTACATTACGACAAAAAGTATGAAATATTTGGGATGATATTGGACTAAATAATAAAAAAATGTAGATAATCAATGCTACTGTGCCATTGTGACTGCATTTTTCATGATAACGCCACCAATATTACTTTATTCTATCGCATACATTTATCAGTGTTCTCAGCTGTTTTCGTTTATTTAAAACAATATGTATAACGGTAGGTCACTGCAAAACAGTAAAATTTGTTTGAACCGGAATCTGAACAGTTAATATTCATATCAATTAAATAAATAATTTTCACAGTCGAACTCACGAGTCGATCCAAGCTAGACCATCACTAAAAGCCTAAAAGCACTGAATGGTTATTCCGCCCCAGTATAGGAATCTTCAGCAGTGTTCATCTACAGTCCCACACATGAGATTTGGACCAAGGACCTTCGGTCTCGCGCGCAAACGCTTAACCTCTAAACCGCAAACTTCGATCGACTCTAGAATTCAACTGTGAGAATATTACAATCTCCACAAATCTCCATACTGAAAATAATTTTCAGTCAACTTTCTTTTTTTGTCAGTTGGTATTTGAATACATTTTAGGATTAAATTTTTCCGAAACATTATGTATGTATTTGGCAATAAGTAGATACTATATTATTATACGTTGCTAAAAATAACTCATTTCAATGCAAATTTAGGAGAGAAAACCGAAGTAAGATAAATTGTTCACCAAAATACTTTCAATTAAATGATTTAAATTTATATTTTTTTATGATATTTACGAAGATTAACTTAAATCCTAATGAATTAATTCACTCTTGGTGGATGAATGAAATTATGAAGAAAACTAAATTGAACAGTAAGCAACTTAGTGTTTGTTTAATTAATTAAGCAATAGAAGAAAACAATATAGAATTCGGTAAAACAACAATCAAATATTTCCGACTTTACGTTGAGATTATAAAATACAAGAAAATTTTATTCACACTTACAATTTCTTTACAATATAAAGATCAGCTTGTAGTAAAAGAGATCTCTGTTTTTAATGTTTGAAATAGTGATATAATATTTCCCTCCCTCTCTCTCTCGCGTAAAAGAACCTGGAAATTGGATTATATTAACTGAATAATATTATAGATAATCATTTACTTCATTTATCGATAAATATCTAACAAACACAGCTTATCTATCTAATATTTGTGTTAAAATTGATATAACAGTGTTTATTATTTAAATATAGAATAGATTTACATATTAAATATAAGTGACGGGGAATTTTCAAAATATTACAATCTATCATACCAATATAAATTGGATAATATTATAAGTCAAAAAATGTAGCTTCATATAGAATAACTAGTTGACCTATAAAACTATAGTTTCTTATTACAATTGACTAAATTAATTTATATTTGTTATTATTTAAATAATTCAGTATTATTTAATTATACGCGTAATGATTCAGTCAGTCAGTAACAACGTGGAACTTTGTACGTACGTACATCAGTTCGAGTTGCCATTCCACATTAGCACAGAGATGCAGTTGTCAATTCAAATCCCCCAGTGGTAGAGGTGGTAAGAGTATAAGCAGTAATCAGAAACATTAGGGTCCGAAGATGTTATTCAAGGAGTATAATACAGTGAAATAAATTTGGAAAGAGGAAGAAAAAGGGACAGTTGCCGGCCTTGAAGAACACCACAAGACATTGTCAATTTATTTAAATTATATTTTTTTGGTATTTATCAGTTTAGAAAGTTACTGTTACTATCCTTAATTATATGAGAGTATTTCATTTTGCACTTCGTGTTAATCTGTATTTATTAAGTACTTTTGTGTAAATCAAATAATTTCTTACGTTAATCTCGACAGTTGTAGAAAAGATAATTAGTTTAACAGCCTTTTAGCTACTTGTATATTAGATCCTTATTTATAAATGTCAAAGAAACTGCTCTTGCTCTTTAAATGAAATAATTGTACTTATATTGTTCGATTTTATTTTTTCTACTCTAATCCGTTTAGTAAACATGAAGAGGTCTGTTTGTCAAAATAGATTATTAAGTCTGAATGAGATCATTTTCATGACTGATTTTAAATCAGTAATTATTTATTTTTGTATGATATCGTATTTAGATAGATGTCAGCAGATCGAACCTTAAATAAATACAGGACTGTTTACTCCGTTATGAGTAACGCTATAAGTAGTTTTTGATAGAGAAATTTGGCAAACTTTAGATCTATTTGACTTTGTAAGGAGGTATTATTGAATATTAAGGAAGATGAGACAGTTGTTTCATTTTACTTTATGATCTATTAATAGTGTGCAATCTCATCACTACAAAGTGTCGCAAATGAAGCCTAATCACCGCACAGCTAAGCTAGAGTCAAGTGTTCCATATTATCTAGTTTGATCAATATATGATATTGCGCGACTAAAAGGTCAGCGGTTAGATTCTGAGTGAGTGGTTAAGACGTGCTTGCATAGATCATATTAAATAAACTTTTTAATTTATATATTGATCACCCCAAATTTCTATCACTAAGATCATAACACTTTCTATCGCATTATTAAAATTTTCTAATCTATTTTAAGGAACTGTTAAAATTGATCATGAAACTGGTACACACTTACTCAATGGAATTAATTGGTTAGATAGTTGGCTAAGAATTCGTAGACTGGATAAACATAAACGTCCGTTGAATATAATAATTCAAGTTGCAAATTTGTTAGCTACACCTAGAAAACAACTTCTAAAGGTTAGTTTATGCATTTATTTAAACAGTATTTTCATTGTTTTGGTGACTCTGATGATTTTAGATTGTTTGAGAAACGAAACAAGAACGGTTAGCTGATATTATTTTTAGCAAGATACGTAATAGTTTGGCAAAATGATGAACCAACAAAATAACACTTATCACTCATCAACAAAGTCGAGGACTTAATAGATCTTAAATGTTTAGACAATCTATTCAGTTATTTTTTAAAATTCGCAGTCGTTTCTGGACGAATAAACACTTGTCATAGAAGTAATGGAAAATAGTGGAAACTGGCTATGTATCTGTGTTTATCCACTGTAGAAAATGAAGCACTATAATTTTTCAGCTTTTTAACGTTTGTTTGTCTTCATTTTGTTGTACCTAAACTATTTAAATCCATTTGTCACCCTTATAACTAATTAAAATGAACAAAAATTTCGTATCTAGAGAATTTTCTAAAAATTTACAGTACTTACTGTTTGCTAGTAAAAATGATTCGTTCGTACCTTCTGAAGAAAAGAAATACCTGAACTAGAGTTTTTGATAGTTCACTGTTTTAAATTCGAAGGACGAGTGTTCAGTTGAGTAGCATGATAAACTGTTAATTTGTCACAAAATGGTCAGTACTTTTCAAAGCATTTCGAAAGCCATGAATTGTGCAGTAAGGTGATCAGTGAAAATAAGGTTGATTTGAAAATGTTTGTCATTATGATTTGAAATTTACCCGAGTCACTGAGAGCTATTAAGTCATAAGTAGCTGTAATCAATGGTTATCAGCGTTAAAATGATTTCTCGACGTTCTATCAAAACAATTTCAGTGATTTAACTACTGACAATAATTAAGCAGTTATAACTTATTACACGGAATGAATAATGAACTTTTTCAAAGGAAACGAAATTAGAAATGTAAACTTTTGGATTTCAATATACCAGTCCAATGATATCATGCTCATAGTTGAATCTGAAAGTTCTGAAGTTGTCCTCGTGTTGAATCGTTGTGTGTACTATTGGGAAAGTTTAAAGTAGAACAAGGAAAACTTCTGTTGACTTTTATCCCTTAATCGTTATTCAACTAATGTTTGTCCATGAAGTCTTACTCAAATTTTTAACCTTGATAGTTGAGTATTTAACTGTGATGAAATTAAATTGTCACTTCTAATGAAATGGTGACATGAAGATATACAAGAAAAAATCACGGTTGAAGTATATGTTTAGTATTTTTGGATTAGATTGCTGGGTTTTCTACTGTAACTACTTTATTGTCAGTAACATAACAGAAAACTATTACCATACAACTGTTTACCAGTAAATGCCTAACCGATGTCGTCTAGGTGCCGTCCTGATTGTTTAGAATCCTCCTTTTTTAATGAATATGAATTGGGCTTTGTTATTCGAGACCTTAAAGTGACGCTAATTCCTAATTTTAAATTACACAAGAATATCATAGAAGGAAAGTACAAAGTGGTGTGAACAATTAAACGTCCTGATGTTTTGTTAATTGCATAAGTGAAATATGTAGGTAAAACAATTTACTCGAAAAAAGTATAGCTTAAAATATGTCTTGCTTCCATTATGTCCTTGTAATTTTAGCCCAAGTGATAATTAAAATTTGTATGCTGAAAACTGATAAAATCAGTATAGTGTAATAGATACACTGCTTATGTAATCACTTATATTATCTTACATTTGACATTACCCTTTCGTCAGGTCTAATTTTATATTCATAGCAAATGTGAATAACATATACACCAGTAATGGGTATAAATAAATATGCACATTTAAGTAAACAAAATTTCCGTGCTTTTAAATGATTTTTGGAGAAGATTGATAAAATTTTTGATGAGCAGATTGAATCATAATAATGTCAAAAGCTAGGTGGTTCGCCAGTTGTCTACCACCTCCTTCCCAAACATTATATGATAACTTAGTAAATTGATTGAACCAAAGTAATGTGCATTTACGATCAAAACATATTTCAATTTATACAATTTTTTAATATAAATGGGTGTAATATTTTAGTTTACTTTAATTGATGCTTTTTTTAAATAAGATTGTTACTTTTGTGCATTTTTCCCAACCCTTCGTCTAGAGTCGCCTCGGATCCACGTCTAAAGTATTTTGTACATTCTACACCAGTGTACAACCAGTACAAAATTTAGGTTTAAACAGTCTTGCCTAATCCAAGAACCAATCACAACGTCCATTTTAATTGTTGTTCTGTTTATATATAAAACCTAGTGATGCTGAAGCATTTCTTTTTGTAAATTCAGTGTTAGATACAAGTTTTGACAACTTCATCTTCAAGAAGTAAGCATTTTGAAGATAATACTTCTAGTGTTTATGATATTAGGTGGGAGTCTTACACTGAAAAATCTTAAGTAAACAACATCTCTGAATATGGAATAAAACCAATGATAAGAATTGCTTTTCCTCGTGGAGAAGTTATGAATAACTTACGAACGAAGTCTTACTCATATTGGACTGTTTGATTTAAATTAAACTTTTTTGTTATAGGGCTTCTCATGATAGGAAAATATACACTGTTTAACATTTAGGGAATTTTACTAAGTTTCAAATGAAAAAGAAACAGATATTTTTAACAGTTAACCCTTGTATTATTATTTCAAAATAAATACTACAAATTATAGTTATTTTAGAGTGTTTTATTTAAATGTAGAAAGTTGTAATCATTTATACAAATATTCATTCTAAACACTGTCTAACTAATTAGTAAACTGAATTCCAATAGGTGAGTTATTATTTCAATACTAATATTATCTTCATTAGTTATCTGACTGAATAATCTATAGTTTATTCTTAATCACATTTGATTAGATACAGTTTCATGGTTTGTTTGTTTTCTGTTAATTAACAAACTGAACTGTTGTCAACCAATTTAAATTTTGTCAATTTAACACAAGTCATCATGTTAAATCTGGTAGAAACACTTGTAATATAATCAATTTTATTGGGACTATAAGATTAATTAAATAAGAATTTTTTTGATCTAGTAACTGTCTATTACACGGTGAAAATAATTTTGTTGATGATAGATTACCTTTATATCATGAGAAAACACTACTCAATAAACCAAACTTTTTTTTTCAATTAGAAACATTTATAACTTTTAAAACGTTTCTAAGTAGTATTCTCTAAACACTTATCTGTTTGTCAATAAGACTGTGTATTTTGAATTAAACTATATTTTTAAGTGTTTCATATTTTATTATGTTCTTATAATTTAAGTATAGTATAATAACATGAACTGAAGAACATGAAACAGTGTACAATTTATTGATTAATTTAAACACTATCTGATATTATTATATTCTGAAATTGAAAACAATAGCCATAATTAATACCTGCACTTGAGTACTGAACTATCATTCAGTGAAGTGATAGATAGTTTCAAGCGTTGTATTGTTAGTCTAAGATTTGAAAATATCTGTTTTTCATTCATTTAAATTACACGTATGACGATTACGCATATATATATAAATATATATATATATATATATATATATATATATATATATATATATATATATTCCAAATGGACCATAGTCCGCCGACCAGCATTCTCCAACCGAATCCGTCCTGGGCCTTCCTTTCTAGTTCTATCTAAGTGTTGTTCATTCTTCTCATGTCTATCTCCATTTCTCGGCGTAATGTGTTCTTTGGTCTTCCTCTTTTCCTTTGGCTTTGAGGATTCCAAGCGAGGGCTTGCCGTGTGACGCAGTTGGGTGCTTTCCTCAATGTGTGTCCTATATATATATATATATATATATATATATATATATATATATATATATATATATGAATGTTCTGTTTTCCTTTCAAATTCTTTATATTTTCTGTCAACAATCTTCAATTATACAAATTTTAAATTCATCACATTTTAGAACTAATTCTTTCTGAGTTAATCAAGTAGTTAAGTTGAATAACTTGATATGTTGGTAGATTATTTTTTTGAGACATGAAACATGAAATTTTCATCGAGATAACATTTTACTCATGGAAATCACCTAGTAAATTTCATATACAAGTAAAAATTACAAACAGTATTTAATTGGCTTTAACTTAGTCCTTCATGTGTCAAAAACTACGAGGGTTGTGGTTTTGTTTAAATAATTAATAGAGTAAGTCTAATTTTCGTGAAATTGACTAAAGCAGGAACAAAATTTGAGGCAGAAAGTTATGATTTCTTTTTATTTCATCGGTTATGTTTTCATATGTACGGTCATTTGAAGATAAGCATAAAAAATACAAAACAGTTTAGACGTTCAACACTTAAAACCTAAAAATTGACAGAACAGGTTGCCTATAGATTATGAAGCTATTGAGAATCTTACATACCTAATAAACGATAATTTAATTGTAAAGTGGATGAAATTGAAGTTTACCTAAGCGAAGATTGAATAAAAATACAGAAAATATTGCTACGGATAACAGTAATAGTAACTGGAGTGGATGTCATTAAAATATATCAACTTGTCATGCCGATGTTAAATTTACAGGTATCTATTTTTAAATGCAGAATATGATTCGACTTTTTCTGGTTGATACAGTTTCCGAACAGCTCATTGAATTAGCATTCTTTACGCTGTTCATTATTTTGAGTGATCAAAAAAATTTAAAAAAACATACTTTTTTATTGACTAAATGCTGAGTTACTTCACTGTTTAAGATTGTGGCACCTTTGGTTTTCTAGTTCTTTAATACTTGATTCGGGATGCATCAACGGGTATTCCTCTTTTTTCTCCCAATTGGAGGTACAGAAAGAAGAACTGTTGGTTTTTGTATATTTTAGGGAGCATTTCGTCTCACATTTATTGGATAGCATTTCAAATGATTAAGCATTCCTTAGCACAGTACTTATTATGTAATTAACGATTTAAACAATTTCATCAGATGGGTTTAATTTATCTTTCTGTTGATAGTGTGCCTGAGTTAGTTGGTAGGTTCAGCTTTACCTTGAAAAGTACATAAGTATAAAACGGCAATCATATTCCAAGCCAGTTTGAAAATCCCCCTTGTATATTCTTTTGAAAAATTAAGTGTTTATATCACATATTTTGATTTCTATGGTACCTTTAATAGAGTCAAGAATATCGACAGCAAGTTTTACACTATATATTAATGACTAATTGAAGTTCTTGAGATCAACTTATTTTGTTCTTCTGTTCGCATATTAAGATCTACATAATCTGAGCAGCTTGTCCGAAGTCGATCTCACATTTTTCAACACTTGATTCAGTAAAATCACACCAGTAATCTAACTTGTTGTATGAAGTTAATTTTTATCCTTAAGTTTGAATACGTTGCTGCGGAGCTTCATTTCAGATTGTTAAGACACTCTTGCTAAATAAATCAACATAACTTAATCACTGAGTATGAAGGGTTGGCACTGTAGGTTTAAACATAGATAATAATATTTTGTAAATACCATCGAAAATTATTTTCACATTGTTTACTCTGTGCCAGTGAGCAAACACTGTTTTAGCAACTAAAATCAGTGAATGGTGCGAAGTATCTATGATGTTGTGGATCATACTATTTCCTGTTATTTGTAGGTATTTAGTTCCGTAAAGTAATCAATCTTTAATAATACTAAATAAACTTGTTTGTGAATAATTTCAGTGTAGTTGTTACATTTTCTCAATGAATAACTTAACACTGACAAGAATGTTTGTTAACTAAATTGTGTACAAAAACATGTTTTATATGAATTGGAATAATTCACTCTAGCATGCCTGTGTGTTCATTTGTTTGACCCATGACCTTAACGTTAAGTTGATATTTATGGTAAATGAATGCATATATATATATATATATATATATATATATATATATATATATATATATATTTGAAAATAGGTGAGAAACTTCAAGAAAATGTCTTTTTCTCATTGATCAATAGATGTTTTATTGAAATGAATACACTATTGATCGATCGCGCTAATATTGAATTGATATGTTAATTTGGCATGAGAAACGTTTACTAAAAATAGTCTATTCACATATATGATTTATTGAGTAATCTTTTTTTTAAAAATTTACAATATCAACAGAAAATAGTTTAGATACTGACTCATATGAATTAAGTGTAAGAGAAACTTCTTTATGAAACGATTAATTAAATTTGTTGTTGTGGTTGCGACTACGAATGAATTGTTTTTTTGGAATCAAAACTTTGTTGTACTCTCTGTCAGATATTTGTTGTCTTGTGATAGTTGTCAACGTATTGGCGTCTAAAATTTGCAAAATATGTGTTTCTTTAATTAGATTTATACCCTCCTACTAATTAGAAAATCAAATAATGTTAGAGCATTACGGTTGGTTGTTTGCAGTGCAATCAACTTGTTAAAAGATTATTTATTATAAAATAGTAACCTGGAATCAGTTGATATTTTGCGAATCCTAGTTTAAACGATATTTAGACAAACAAATAACAAATTGAAAGTTTGTAGCTGAGTAGCATGTGACAGCGGTTTTATGTGTACTACTATCGTATTTTAATTTTATTAATTTATTATCGACGTTAAAATTTCAGCCGATTGGGAATGTATTTGAGCTGAATTGCAAATTGATAACAGCTGAAGAATATCAATGTACATGTCAATATTCATACACTCCAAAATAAAGTTCTGTTGAATAATCCCTTAGTATCATAGATAAAACTAAACTAGGACTTGCTACAAAAAATCTAATTCGACACAGCTTTCGGTAGCTTCCTCATTTAATTGATTTATTAATCAATATCAGATCGCAATGAATTAATGAATAAGAATTTTCTCGAAAAAGCGATTACAACCCATTGTAATCAAACTCTAATTGTTAAGAGTAATTCACATTAAAAAGAGAAATTTTGCTAAACTTAATAGTTCTGGTGTTTTGATTATTTATTTACGAGTAGATATTTGGTGTTTTGCTCGATTGTCCTCTAACTGAGCATTACTGACTAAGAGACAGCTTCTAGACACTAAGCTTGCTTTCAGGGAAATCAGATTGCAATTTTTTCTATATCTACTGATTATCGATTGCTGAACATTTCAACATTTAACTATATTCAATATCGAAAACCGATAATCTTTGCCAGTAGAAATCGATTTCATATCCTGTTCAGTGGCTTCATAAAACATATTGATTCTCTGTCGAGAGTTGATATATTTTGTGACTCTATCTACTTTAAGCACCACCAAATAATGTTAAGGTTTTCAGATAAAATGCTGAAAAACCTCAAACAAGACCACTGAATTAAAATCCAAAGTTATTCATTCATTTGATGTCACATACAATTACTTCTGATTAATCCTTGAAGAACTTAAGATGGTTATATGACTATGTCGTAATTTTGGATTAGCATACAAAGAAAGTTTTGACTGAAATGATAATCTTTTATTTGAGATAATCGTGGTAGTTAGAAATACCATCATCAGCGCTTATTTGGCCATGTAAGTTTTAATTTTTGTCTACTGAAAGTAAACCCTTTATTTGAATATTCGGAAAAAATTAGTCTAATCTGTTTCACTTACTTCAGATGACTTGGAATGAAATGCGAGAAGCTTATTCTTACATCCCACCTGCTCTGTTGCGATTTTTATTAGAAGAGTATGAAGACGGATTCGGTGCACAGAATGCAAATAGTTGGAGTATTGATGAAAAAGATGCAGCAGTGGTAGACGAAGATCGTAAGCAGTTTTTGTTCTAATATCTTTGATATAAAAATGTTTTTACTTCGCATATGACTATTTATCATCAAAAAGGTGTCGTTTAAAAGCTTTGCTAGCGTCAGATTACTAAAAACTAACAAGTAATTACTTTATCCTTCAATATTCTCTTGAACCTTTGACAGTTCCTTCTAACAAATCGTAAAATAACAGTAGCAATTAGCTTTACGTTTGTCAGATTTGTCCGTCTTGATGGTCGGTCCGCAATTAATCACAACTTATTGTTAATATGGTATAAGTGGTGACAAAACTTAGTGAAATTACAATAAGCTTTTAGTATGAGGCCGTAATTTTCTATTGTTGATATTCCGGAATACGTTTGATGATTTTTTTGTTTTCATCTGTACATCATGAGTAGACTGCCTTAACATTGTGCTACGTTACACATTATCTTTCTAATGCCTTCATACACTTTGGATAAGTTGATATCTATCTCAGCTCAGTAGCTTAGCAGATTACACCTTAGCATTTAAAGCGAAAAATGGTTTTGAGTTCCACTTTGAACATTAAAATTAGGATTCAGGTGTATCCAGATGACGCAGATCAGGTTGGATGAAACATACATATTGCGTGTAACTATTAAGTAAGTATGAAACATTTAATGTCAATATTTATAGTCTCATAAAATATAGATACAAGAATTTTAAGTTTTTGCTTACCTTACATAGCAACATCTTCAAACGTTCACAATAAAGAGTTAGACTTATTTGTACAGAAGCAGTTTGATAAGTCTCTCTCTTTACCAACGGCTTAGTTTCATCAAATTTTTCTGTTAATGTTTTGTAAATGTATCTTTATTCTGTCTTGCTATTAGTAAATATATTTTACTTGGAAGTTTCAATCATCACTCATATTGTATGTTTTTAACTTCAAACTTCCCGTTAATGACAGTAAATCTAATATGCTTTCCATAATGTGAATAAATGGTTATTATTTTGCGAATTCTGTCTTCTGTAACCACTTACCTGAAGCAATGTAATCAGTTTCTGATCATAGATCTAAAAAAATTAGATTTTTAGTTGGAAGTTTTTATACAGATTAAACTAATTTATAGATCGCTTCCGTCAGGATATAGTATCAGTTGCGGTACCATTAAAATCCTGGTAATGGTAGACATCTATTTCGACGTAATGTGACACTTCTTAGCAGCTACTATCTACTACTTTGTTAGGGAGCAAATCTAGAACGATTAAACCTTATAGAAGAGATTGACTTTTGTGTCACTGAGGTGTAATTCCCTGGTTTAAATCTTTAGCTTCTGGTGGAAGGTCATGATGGCTGGAGTTTGGCTGTTACCCTAAGATAGTCATTGCAAATGTCCAAATAACAAACAAGTTTTTTTTAAATGACTCATAATTTACCACATACCTGTACTATTGTGAAGGACTGAAAATGCGGTGTGTTCAAAAGTATTCCTTCTCTGAATCCTTTATTTTCAAAACATGGAAGCCAATACTAGACAGAGTTTCCCCATAAGAATACTTATATCAAACAGAATATAGGATAATTTTTAAATAAACAGTTGTTTTTATTCATACTGTGAACCAAGTAAAGTTGATGGTGTTTTTCAAATCTAAAACGTCTATTATATACAAATTAGACTAGTATTATCATTTGCAGAAAAATGGCGATTCATTACGTTAATGGTTCCTAATAGTGTTATCTTTAATTTCACTTCGTGATAAGCATTATATTTTAAAATGACAAAGTTTACAATAATTTTCAATTGATTCCATGGCTAAAAAGGTGGTGACAGATTTTAATTATATCTAGTTCATACGGTATATAGGTTACTTCTAGTTATTACTAAAATACGAATGTAAGTCGTTTTGAAGATCATTGAATTTGATAGTTTACAATATTTAGAATGAAAATTAATTGATCGTTTTTATATTTCTTATCATATATTAATCGGCTTGTTTTAACGTTTCACATAATATATTTTCTTTTCAGCTACTGACTTAATCGAAATAGCATTAAAAGGATGGAGATCTAAAGAGCGGTTACTTCCAGGAAAAACATATGCTAATCAATCACCTATTTATAAACCTGTGGATCCGTATGGTTTGTGTGTCCAGAGTGCTATGCAGACCTGTGTTAATCAATTAGATGGAAAATTATCTGGTATGTCCATCGGTTTAAGGAATCACTGAATGCTTTTTTCACTTACGATCAAAGTTCTTCGTTATTAATGAGGAAATATTTTATCAAAAGAATGGTCGTAAATGTCACTAATGTTTTAATTATGAGCATTTTACGAAGCGTTGGGGGCGAGACTATAATTTATGGACGAACCAATCAGATTTACGATAACGGGTGTTGGGTTTCGGCGCGAAATTCTTTATCCATTTGGCTAAATAGCATCTTGGTATTTTAGCTGATGTCAGTTCGTGATGAAAACTCTAAATCTAATCCCTATCCCTAACCATCAACTGTAAATCACATTCCTTATTCTTCACACAGGCTTAAGATCTTCATTTAGTCTTAGTCAGTAGGTGGACATTCTCAATGCCGCTATGGCGATGTTCAAAGATCGTCCATAAATTGTAGTCTCATCCAATAGGTTTCATTCTGCTGATATTAATTGATAATGCAGTTTTGACTTTATAATCTAAAAACCTTACCTCACAATTTAAGCTGACATCAAATGAAATCTTAAACCATAGTCAAATATTTGTATTTTCATAAAAAGCCACACCTTTAAAACTTTGGCATAGACATTAAATAAAATCATCTTTTTCAAAATACTCACGTACTCATAATTAATTTAATGTACAGCTGATTAGTTACCATGGTGTTATAATGAAGAGTAACGCTAATTAATTATTTGAATACTACCCAAGGTAAATCTACAAATATATAAAAGTTGTCTATTTTCTATGAAGATCTTCAACAGAATAGATTATATTTTGATCTAGTTTGAGGGCATTATAAGTTTGTGTTGTACCCACAACCCAACACTAATTTTCCCTCATGGATTACATTGAACATGATCACTTCAAACCGAAATACCCAACATCTTATAACCTACATTTTCATTTGAAATCATCTAATTAACATTTCGAATAAATTGAGCATTGGGTAGATTGTTATAAGAAAATAAATAATATATTTTTAATATCCCTATGAGTAGAAAAATCAGATTTTCTGACGTTTCGTGACTTAGTGTAAGCCACTTCTTAAGAGAATTCTCTGAGGTATCACAAATACATTATTTATTTATTGACATCTAGTTAACATTTTAAATTACAGATTTGGATAACCACATTAGTTTGTTGTCCTGTTTTATAATACTAAACATTTTAATTGAAAATGAATTATTACTTTTCTTTTTTTTAATTCACTTCCTCTTTTTAATATTTTATTTCATTGAAAAATTAATAAATTTACATTATTTATCAATATGTGTAATAACAAAAATATTTATTTATTTTATAATGATTTAGCTATTCAATCACCTGTAATTTATTTTCGATGGCAAGAATTAATGCGTGAATTCCCTCCACCGAGAGTTATGCCACAGATTCATATAAATCATAACCATACATTTAATAGATCAACTATACGAAATAAATTGGCAATTGCAAATCGTAAACGATTACCAATACGATCTAACAATGGTAGAATGAGTATATCACCTTCAGTGATGAATCAAAATACTACTCTTATAGAAAATTCAGAATTTTCACCTTTACCAAATAAAACACAAACAAGTCAATTTGACATTTCAGTGAAATCAGTTGATCAAACTTCTAAATTTTCTAATGATATGAAACCAAAACCATCGAGTGGTGAACCAGTATGGGGTGGTAGTCATGTAAATTCAATATTGTTAAAAAATTTTGTTTTAGATTTGTTTATATCATATAGCGGTATATCTGGGTAGTAATTTCATCTAAATTGATTGAATCATAAATTTGAACGTTTGACTGAATATATTAAGTAATACTATTTTTCTTACACAATGACTAACATTAATCAAGTAATTTCACTAGGTTCAATATTATCATTTGTTTTACATACAAAAGTAAATTTAACAAAATACCAAGCCACACCGCTTTTAGTTAGTTGGTTAATTAGTTGGCTATAAGCAATACCTCATTCTAAATTGAATTTTTTTAAGTGGTACAAGTAATTGAATCTAACAAAGTCAAGTCTCTCCTTTTATTGAACATCCCGGAAAATTATAGCTGAATAAGTTGAAAGTCTAAGAAAATGGTTCAGTTCTATGATATAATTTTATTCACTTGAAATAAAATTGGACATTTATCAGTCGTACATTTACAGTAAATTAAAACAAAAAACAATAATTCACTTTCATCAGTTCATTAAAAAACACCATAAGTATTAATATGTGTTGATTTAGTTGATCTGTTATTTATATAATTTATAAAGTATAACAAAAAAACATTTATATTCGGAGGAGGGAGTTACTTACTTACGCCTGTTATCCCTTCTGGAGAAGCATAGGCTGCTCACCAGCACTCTCCATCCAACCCTTTTCCGGGCAATCCTTTCCAGCTCTTTTCAGTTGTTATTCATCCTTTTCATATCTGATTCTATTTCCCTTCCTCTTTTCCGCTTCCCTTCAGGATTCAAAGTTAGGGTTTGCCTCGTGATGCAATTTGGTGATTTCCTCAATGTATGTCCTATCCACTTCCAATGACTTTTCCTAATTTCCTCTTCACTTGGAAGCTAGTTTGTCCTCTTCCACAGAAGGCTGTTTCTGATGGTATCCGGTTAACGGATATTGAATATCTTGCGTAGATAACTATATATAAATACTTGTAACTTCATGATGATGGTTGTAGTAGTTCTCTACGTTTCAGCTCCGTACAATAGAATTGCCTTGATGTTCGTATTAAAGATTGAGACTTTGGTATTGGTTGGCAGTTGTTGGAGGGAGGAGGGTCAACCGTTATCATATGTGAAAATGACACATAGTCTCACTTCATAACTGCTATTTGTTTTATTCTCAATAATATATTTTCATTATCTATCTCTTATAATTATTCATACTGAAACATTTGTTATAAAAAAGCACTGAATGTTGATTTTATGGTCAGTTAAATCATAAATATTCATTAACTTATAAAAACTAATCATTCTGTGAAAAATAGTCTATTTTCCCAAGGTCACGAAATTCCAAGGATTTTCTTTTTTCATATTGCATCTACTTGGAAAAATATATCATCTCTTTTGAAGATAAACTATTCAATATTCAGTTTATTTTAAAAGCATCAATTCCGGTTGTTTTTTTTTTTGTTAAAACATTTTAAGTTCTATTAGAGGGGAAATAGACATTATGATTTAAAGTTGATTTTCACCACAGACTGACCTCAGTAACCTGAATTCATCGCTAAACTAATGATCGAACTCAGTATTTTCTGTTGAACCACTAGATTAGGGTCATGTGTGAACATTGACCAGAAGTTTTAGATTTAGAAGAAACACTCGCTCAATGTCTCCTGATTTTAAATGATTCTACAGTGCATATCATTTCCTGATAAAAACTAACTTCAAATTGAACGATATAGATATATACACATAGGTATTCCTTTAAAGTCTGTGACAAAATGGTTTACGTCTTATCATAGAATTACAACATTATTGCAGTCATTATGATAATATAGTTTTATAAACTAATGAACTGATCTTCCCGAAATTTTTAGTCTTCAGGAATGAACAATCCACAAGATACTAGTATGGATAGTAAACAAAAAGCATTATACTATCTCAAAGGATTGGCTGCTTCAATTGGTGGTATAGATTTAATTGCTAATGCTAATGGCGATCAAGATTTTTTACCTGAGTCGAAATATTTGAATAATCCTCAAATGGGAAGTAAAGTTAATGACTATCCACAAGAAAATGTTTACCACAGTCAAGTGTTTAATCGAAAAGTTATCAGCCCTCATTGGCAAAATCAAATGTTAGAGACTAACAGGACAGAAATTCCAGTATCTCCTTGGTATCATGATCCTCGACTTCAAGTTCCAAATGGATTATCACAAAGCCTAGGCGATTTTAATAATGGTTTCAGACCCCCCTCAAATGCTCCTTCACTGAGTCGTCTAAACATGGATCAATTAAATGAAACAGCCAATGATTGGAAACAATATCGAATGTCATTACTGGGTCAAGGATTAGACAAAATTCGAACTTCAAAGGCAGGATCTAGATCAGTTACTCCAAGATTGATATCCAGTCGTAATGTGAGCAGTAGCATGTCAAATTTGCCAATAAATCAGTTTAAAATTCCAGATATGATTATTCAAGAGGCAGCAGATAATATTTCAGAAGTAGTTAGCGAATTAGATCGAGGCAGAGATACAGATTCTGATGCTATGAGTTCCGTTAATTTATTGGATATCAATCCAGAACGAGCACTTAGCGATGTATTAGCACGTAGTGGTTTGGGAAATTCCGTTTCAAATGTAACACTTTATAAAGAACCAAACTCTGGTTTCGGTTTAGTATTAGTTGACGGTGAGGTGAGTTATTTTTTATGTAAACAATACACTTCACGATAAATTGTTTTCATCTTAAGTATTGTTGAGAATTATAAATTACATATAAATGAACTCTCTCTCTCTCTCTCTCTCTCTCTCTCTATATATATATATATATATATATATATATATATATATATATAATGTGCGCATAAATAATGTTCCATTATAAGCCTATCATATGAATTTGCAAATTACTTGTAAACAATGTTTGTTTACACTCCATAATTGAAACTTTGTTACTAGTGTTTACTATTTATCCGTTGTTTTATTATCTCATGCTTCATCATTAGATATGGGGCTTTGCGAAATCGTTTCAAACACCAAAGGTCATGCTACTGAATAACTTGTACATTGTACCTTGTGCTATAGCTATGTCATTTATATTAAGCTACTATATAGACACTACAAATGGAATATACTTTTTAACATTTATTATGCTCCTATGATTACTTAAAAATTTCGAAAACAGAAGCATTACATGTCGAAACATTTAGTTTTTCAGTAAGCTTAAAAACGGGTCTCACTAATTATTGTTAATAATTTTTGTTAACTAGTCAATTTCAGACAAAGATGTTTCCCTAGCTTAACAAGCTTCATATTACAATGAATATATATTAGAGGATTGCCCAATAGTAATACGTTTTAGTGCTAAACATCTTTGAAACATGCCTACTAAGCAAAGTAATTCATCACCGTAGTCATAAGAAATTAATTTCGAGTTGTCGGAGTCAGTCAATTAGGTATATTTAGCAAAGGATTCATACTTAAAATAGGTAATAAACAATCTGTTAAAACTCTGACAAAGTTCAATTTATATCGAATAATTGAACAAAATAGAGTTTTCGGCTTACTGTCTTCAGCCGTTCAATGTCAAGATGAAATTGTCATAAATTTTGAGCATTTTGTTGTAATCACAGTCAACCTTCAAATAATTTTTAAGTTTTTCTTGTTTATAATAACTGACCTATTTCAATCTGTTAAATAGCGCACTAGCCTTGATCAACCAGGTATATTCGTCAAATCTGTTGCTCCCAACAGTGTGGCTGAAATGAATGGAACATTTAGACTAGGCGATCGTATTTTAGCAATAAATGGACGCGATCTAACAAGCATGACGTATAAAGAGTGAGTTTTTGACATATTTTTGTTCCGAAAAACATCGTCACTCTTCTTTATTCTAGGCGCAAATTACTCATTCAACCGAAAATCTTATATCGTATAAATGAAAGATATGGCCTTTCACTTTATCAATCATTCGATTTTAAAATGTAGGCTAAAAGAATAAGGTTTTAGATCATTTAAACCATGAAACTGACACATTTTTTTGTAAATGAACATAATTTATTTATTGTTCTATAACTTATAAACCTTGTATAACAAAGCAATCCTATAGAGTTTACCTTTAAGCTACAGCTCATCTGTAAACTTCGTCGTATCAATACTTTATAAGTGTATATCTTTAGACTAATACCTTATAGACTAAATATATTTTGTATTCACTTGCTGTTGTTTACTTGTATCTTCTCATTGTTATTTAGGACTGCAATCAATCAGTCTCTTGCTGGCATATGTGCATCCTGTGCGGACGACCTGAAGTCACGAGCTTTATAAGCAAAGATGGATAGGATGCATATATGCCAACGAGAGACTGAACAATTTCAGTGCTAAACATCAATGGGAAGATTCAAATAAAACAATATCAAGTCAATATAACTTAATCTGATTTCACAAGCAGGTGGCTATCAAGACTCGGTAGCTAAATGGATAACGCGAAGGCGTTTGGAGCGAATGGCACTGGGTTCGAGTCCCAACTCTGAGATACAGGTACATCCAGCTGACTAGTCCCAAATAGGACGGATCGCGTGTCCTGGATTCCAGTGCTAACCACTATCCATCTTTGCTTATAAACGTATTTTGTTTTTTATTGTATTCAAATTAATATACTTCGGCAAAAACTGGAAAAATTCACTAAACTATAATCTTGATGTTGTAATAATACAAGAATATTTATCATCAGAAACTATTAAAATTAAATGCTACCATACAAGACTGTTTTACCAGAATTTCGATTTCTTTTTATGGTAATGAGTTATATAATTCATCCATTCAATTATCGATGTTAATAATGTTTTATTAAAATCATCATCAGATATTCTTATTTAAAAATAATATCATTTTAAATATTAACGTGAATGTTAAGAGTTGATAATGTGTTTCCAAAGGAAATTTATTAACGAAGTTTTCTAATTCTGTTACAAGTAGGTCTTAGAAAAAGTCGATATATTCAGATGTATTTTATTATTGGTACTATTGTTTGGTTTTCTTAGTAAAATCAATTTATCATCAAAATGAACTGATTTTTTTTCTGAATTGTTAGTTTTATGTTGTTATTACATTCAAACAAATAGTGAAATTATAACCAACATCGATTGTGAAGGAGAAAATTGAGAATTATGCTCTAGACTATTCTCGATGGAATTATTGACCATTCTGCTGCATCACAATTAGTTAGTAATCTCTTATAAGGGAATTCTGATTCAGATGTATTCAGATGAGAATCTTTACTGTTTATACACAGAAAGAAATTTTCGACAAGGTTTAGGTATGGAATATATTGAATAATCAATTGACTGCTTATTTCTTTTAACTTGTGTGAAATTTTTAACATATTATTTATGATTAAATGGATTAACTAAAATACATTAGTCAAATAGAAATATCTAGAGATTAGCATATGTTTTTGTATAGTTCTTAGCATTACTAATTTATTAACGCTTTTCATCAACATTTATTCATTTCCAGTGCTCTAGCTCTCTTACGACAATGTGTCAGTCAAACAACTTTCACTGTTCTTCGTTGTAATCTGCCTGACCCACAAGCTTTGTTGAAACGTAAAGAAATATGAACAGAACATGTATGAACAGCTATCGTAACAAAAGCGACGAATTCATATTTTCCTGTAGACTATATATGTGGTTTCCAGGAATTCATTTGAATTTCATTACAGATTCTAGTACTCAGTATTATTTTACAAGTTTATTTCAATTTTAACTACCGGATAAATTCACAAGATATGAGACGTAGGAAAATTAAAATGAGAGCATCATCTATACATTTCTTTTTTCATTTATAAAATGTATCGAACCATTCTTTTTTTTTTCAAAAACAATTAAATACGCCAAAACTTCCTTCAATATGTATCTGAACAGAGTACATCTTAAAGAAATAATTTTACTCTATTATTAATATTATTTGAATTTGGAGTTAAACAACAGTAATCCAAGTTGACAGTACCTTCTTATTAACTAATCTTTTTTTCTTTATACAATCTTTTCCCCGTATAAAATTTGTTTAAATTATAAAAACCTTTATTTTTTCCACTTTATTCAAGAAGATAATATTTCACACATGGAAGATCTTCATATCTTTACATTTTTTCTTTAAATTCTTATATTCTAACTGTTTTATAAAAACCCAAATAAGTAAAGTTTATTGACAAAAGTTAATAATTATGTTGAAGAAAATAAACAAATCTATATAAATGCCTACATATAATCAACAAATTTATCTAGACATATCGTTTATGTATGTTTGATTTTTTTTCTTTTTTTGTTTAACTTATCTCATTTCAGATAATCGACTTTTTTTTAAAAAAAAGGAATAATTTTGTAGGTATATTTTGATCAGTTTACAAATTTGTTTTATATTTTTACATCTTTATATTATTACTTAAATATTTTTATCATTACATATTTCATTCAAATAAATTAAAAAGAAAAGAGTTCTATCAACAAACGTTGAAGACAAAGTTGTAAGTCATTATATTGTATTTCATTAATGATAATTGACTTCATATATAGTATTCTGTTAAGTTGAGAATAGGAACCAATATGGCCGAATAAAGTCCGTTAAAAGATTGTTATATATATATATATATATATATATATATATATATATATATATATATATTTACAGACATGTATTTCCTCCAGATCTTTTAAATATCATGGTTTATAGTCCCATGTACTACATCTACTTGTGATACTTGGTCATTCATAGAATAAGGGATAACAATAAAATTACTACTATGAAACTCACATTCTTTATTAGTTGTCATCAATTTACACTCTACGTAATGGTCCCTGATTTCCTAAATTCCGGTTTTTAGGAGGTGCGATTGAGCATTTCTGTGGTAATTTAAAACTCATCAGCTCAGATAGGGCTATTCTCAATGAGAATTTCTGTTTTATTTTCTGGTTGGCTGTTTGGTTCAGTTAAGGTTGGTTAATGGATGACTTTTCTAATTGTAAGGCTCGTATTATTCCATAAATTCTTTCCATGCATTTATCTACTTTATTCATATTCATACAGCTCATTTACATGTGTTCGCCGTTTTTAACTGCTTTCATGTACTAGTTCGTATGAGACCTCCAGAATATGTTTTCAACAGGTTTGGAAATTCCTAGCTCTGTAATCACAGGCACTAATATTATTTTTTTCGCCAGGATTTTCTTTCATTTATTACTCACTTCTGAAATTCGATACGTCTTTGTAAGTTACCTGGATTCATGATGTGCAAAAATAACAAATCACTGAACCAAGCCCAAGAGTTTTAAACGATTTTATTGATAATAGTTCATGAGAATATAAGGAGATTTTTCCAGATTTCTGTAACACTAACATCAACCACCTGAAACATACTCCATTTGTGCGTACAGAATAAAGGTTGTTCAACGAAAATTAAGTTTTTTATGAATTAGTCATGATAGAACACCAATTAAAATATGACATCACATTAGTGGAAATATCAAAGGAGGACGAGCAAGAATAAGCAGTAACGAATAATGTATTTTAGTTTGTATAGTCACCGGTATTGATCCCCTTCATCGATCATGTAGATCTATTCAAATTATGTAAAATGTGGTAAATAACACACTGAAGTTTATACCACATTATGTTTTTGGGTCGTGTTATTATAAGAACACTATGTCAGGAACTGATGATGATCCATTAAATACTTATTTTACGTACTTCTACCTTCCCCAATCAGTCTTGTGATTGTTAAGTAATAACTTTTAAACAGCTAATCACCAGATATATTTACAATCACAGACTTCTAAAAATTTGTTGAGAATATTTGTACAGCTGGTTGCAAACTAATTAGGTGTAAGTTGTCCCAAATAAGAACGATAAAGTGCGCCTCATACGTGGTACAGATTTTTATCTAGTTCACCCACCAATAAACTTAAGTTAGAATTCTTAGAAGGTATTTTTTAATTATATAAACTGGTAACTGTGTTTATATATAATCGTACGCTCATTTCATGATTAATTACAATACATGGCAAAAGTGTAGCGTAAAAATGAACCAAACGGAGTCAACAAAACATCTTTCTTGCGTGAATTTTAAATATCACACGTAACAAGAGACTGAAATACCTTCGTGTACTTCTATATCACATAATATATGCGGTTTTAATTACGATCTGTTTCTCAACAGCGTTTTAAGATTCAGTTAGCTCACTGATTTAGACGTCTTTTATTGAACATAGCCCATCCCAACGGACCAAATTTAATCTTACTACAAGCAATCACAATTACCGTTGGTTTGTAAAAATATATAAATACAAATTATGGAGTAATCAGTTTATTCAGAACCTAGATGGAACCTGTCCTGCTTTCTGGGATTGATTTCACAATCCGCTTCACATAGTCTACAGAATACCAGGAGAACTAGTATTTCAGACACAACTGGTTGCAAAGTTGATCTTAAAGGTCGTCATGCACACAGAATAAACCATCGTGAAGAATGGTATCGAAAATAATTTTATTCCCTCAAGTCCTCAGCACCTTTAAAATGGTCACTCAGAACAAGGGATTCCACTTTGAGCCTTAATCATCTAGAGTGAGTACGGTGTGTTTGTTTATCACATTCGTCTTTTAATTCTGATTTATTTCCGCGCGTTCCATTCACTAATGACGGGTAGTTGCCCGTCAGCTAATGGGTAAATAGCATTCATGCTAGCCAGTTAAAGCTAATTTCAGCATCTTTACCATGATACTCTGAGTGCTTCCGAGGAATACTATGTAGGATACAGTTGGCTATAAAAATTCCTTTGATTTTGTTAATGGTGGTGAAGCTATTTTGCGACAGAACTTTTGAGTCATCCCATAAGGCCACCGGTCTACTTAACGCCTATTTTAATAGCCTATTTGTGTATATTTAGTAGACGTTTCGCATGAAATACGTTGTTTTACTTGAAGCTTTCCAAGCCGAAATTTCAATAGTCCTTCGTCTTAAGACCAGGAAAAATCAAAATGAGTCCTGGGTGACTATGTTCTTCAATTATCAGCATCTTTGTCAACGTATGTGTTTATGATTCAAGTTTTATATCTAGTTAGCCTGAGGATAAATTCAAAGAAACGTGAACTATTATAAAGATTAGAATACATCAAACAGAACCCCAATAAATTTATAACACAAAATCATTTACATTTTGTGCACTGTGGAAAGAATAATTTGATTTTGCACCTCGTTGGAAAAATTTTAAATAATGTTTATATACTATGAAAAGAGCTTACAATCTAATCAATGTTATGACACTCGTAATTTGCTCCTAGAAGGTTTTTTCAGTATTCATCATCTGCGATGGGATATTTCCACCAAAAATATGACAAAGACATGGTTATGACATTAAAATGAAATGGGGTCATACATATGTTGAAATACTTTCATGTCAGATACAATTTTTCTGTGATAACATCTTTTAGTAATTATTATAAATGCTGAATTTAGTGATGCAGTTCTCATGACCCGACCTATATGAAGATTAGTAACTTCCTTTGAAGTCATTAATTCGTAACATCAATCACAAATGCTCAGTTACATATGTCATCATTTCTGGTTGTATATTCACGACAAACGAGCTTTGTTGTTGATCTGCCCTCTAAGAACCATTGTTCTCTTCACGTTCTTTTGGGTATCTGCTTCAGCTTGCTAATCAGAGGTCACCAGGCCATTCATGCCAAATAATATTGATCCCAGTCTGGGATATAGCCCGGAAGTCAGTATTAAGTTGGTAAAATAAACAAATCATCGTTTTATTTGATAAGGAGTCTCCGAAATCTCTGATGATGCAAGGGCTATTAGGTTAATTTTACTTCATGCATGGTATCTCAAGGCATGAGATGATTACAGTTTCAAGGTCGCTTGCGATTTATGACCCCATCTTGTTTTCTTGCATTTCAGAGAGGCACTTTAAAAGCTCATACAAAGTAATTGCAGACTGACTGACTTTTACACTTAACTGTCAGCGACTGAAACAGATTGGCTACAGCTAGTTCCTTAGGAATAACGCGATCTAATTACACAGTTTTGAATTCGAAAATACATAGGGCGATATACTTAAAGATGCCACAAGTATTTGAAAATTGACAACACCTTAATCGGTAACACCTTTTATAATCGAAACGTGCCAAACCAGTCAAATCAGAAGTCAGAAGCTAAGACGTTCGAAGATATATTTCATAAAATACTGATATATCGGAAAACGATTTATCTAGGCTGGCTAGCGGTTGTAGGAGAATTGGAACTCAGCGTATCCACTGGTGATCTGATGCGGATGTATGACCGAGTACCTTCAGCTATGTGAGTCCATTAAAACTAATATGGTCAGCATCAAATGTCAAAGACTAACAGAACTATTGATTTTTGGGATTTATTTACAGTAACATACCTTACCATTACACATTTTTTACTACACATATCAGGTGGTCGTTCATCTTTTATTGCTAACACTGACTGTTTTATTTGACCTAGTGACCGTGTTACGAAGATAAGTGGTTAATTGGGTGTGCTCATATGGGTTGCTAGAGAGCAACAAAGCCTTGAGACTAACTTTAAAAACTCCTAGAATGAATAGAAATAGTTATCATACTACATTCATGTTGGTATTATCAATTAAATTTTAAACAAAAATGAATATAAATAGGTAGTAAGTATTCTTTTTATTTGTTTTTTGTGGTTGGAATGAATCGTCCGCAAGAAGTCACTTGCAACTGTAGTATATATTTATGCGGACATACGGTATTTAGACATATTAAAATTTTTGAGTTTATGGCTGTATTTGATTAATTCATGAATTCAATTGAAAGTTCTCTTGAGAAGTGTAAATCGTACCAGAATTCAGAAAAAACCATGTAGGATCATTGTCTTCCTGTTCGAACATTTCCTCCTCAGTTTAAACACACTGAATATCTCAAATAATACTGCTCCCAATCTTATTAATATTCACTCCACTATCAGTAGGATATGGGCAAACTCCTCTTCGTTGACTCCGTTGTTTCCGGAATATCTTGAGCAAATATTTTTTAAAAATTACATATGATATCATTGTTATATTATTAATAACCTGTTCTATTTACTTCTATTGCTGCATTTTAGCTATAAGACATTTCATATCATACACTAATGCTTTGAGAATTTCTTCTTCTCATTAGTCTGTTTGTTTTTCGCCCATCCTTCAAATTACTCGAAACTCGTTTTACAGCAACTTTTTTCATGACGGTGATATTGTGTTCTTGAGTAGCGAATTAAGTTTAAAACATAACAAATATTTCGTATTTGAATTCGTCTCTCAGTAATAAAGTGAATAGCAATGTCTTTCAGGGCAGAAAATGGAGCATACAGTAGAGCATACAATAGATGCTATCATTTGATACCGAACGTTTCAAAGACAGTACAAATGATCTTAGAAACACTTTTCACTGTTGGACATACTCATTGAGCTCAAGTAAGTATTCACGTGTGACCATATTGAATACTTCGATAGCCACATACCAGCATTTTTTTAATAGTCATATTTTGATAAGGCTTTGCACTCACTATTTAAACATACAGAGGAAGCTGTGCATAACAAGTGTAATTTGTAGGATGTATTTTCAAAAACTGACCTCAGATGATGTACCATTAAAATCAGTGATCCTTAAACATTCATATATTCTTAGATTGAACTCCACAGTAATGCGTAGGCACCACACCGAGGTTAAAAGGTGACGAAAGTGTAGTGACTTACTTTTATGAAGCGAACGCGACTGGTATAATGGGGACAATTATTATTGTAACCAATTGTACCAGTGATTGTTTTACTGTACTTGTTTGTTTAACCGTACTAAAAACATGCATTCTTCCGTTGACCACGAGCTTGCATGAACTCGGCTACTCTCAGTAGTTCCCCTTGTACTCCTTCCCACGATCTCGGTATTCTTTCGGTACCATGAGATTGTTCACAAATCCATCTTACTGCAACCTTCAATTGCCTTCTGATATTTGGCCTACAGAGGGATCTAACGCAGTAACTAACACGTAGTTTCAGTGTAGTGGTGATCATATTCAACCGCGACTTAACGCCACGCTAAAACCCTACAAAAGTATTGTAAACAGGTATAGATTCCTTATTTCACTTCTATTTTGTACATAAGCTTAACCTATAGACATTTATACTGCAACACATAAAACGTGTTTTATTCCACTTGTTTAAAAACTATTTATATAATGCTCTTTTCCATATTCAAGAGATGCATCCTGAGAACTCATTTTCTGCCTGTTAGTATGAGTTTATAAATTTTCGTGCCACTAACTTTAACCAAGTGACCAACGTTTTTGCTGACTGCATCGTGTTTACAAAACTGAACAAATAGCACTCACAACGAACAAGCGAGTGCCTGGTTAGATCCCTACAGGTTTAGCTACTATCCAAGTTTAAACATATGACATTTCTATATACATTAAATTAAATTAAATTTCAAGCGAAGTACCATGAAGCCGCATCCATGAATCCTTTTATTTTCTTCTATTTATGGATGATCCACTATATAACCTCGATTATCATCCACTAAAATGTGCACCAAATATGTTGCGTTACACAACATTGAGCACTGAAACTTTAGAAATGTTCTAAACAAAATACTTTATTTAATTAAAATCCTGTAAGTAAAACTATCCTGCTCCATTTTCTCTCACCCTAGGAAACATGCTATTCTCCTTGTAGATCATTAATTTAGATGTCGCATGATTGGGGTTCAATTCACGTTAAATAGGAATAGCTTGACCAACAATCAAACGTCAGAGTCATATGTCACGGTTAGTACCTAGCGCGAATTACCCTTTCATCATGTCTAGGTACAACTGCCGCTTTGATGACCATACAACACAAAGAATGTTGTTGCAGAAATATATTATTAGGAATAGGTACAAGGAAAAAGTGGACCACCGCTGTATGATAAACTCAACTTCAATCAAACGCAAGTCGATTTTGTAATCGCTGCAGTCTGTTTAACGACCAAACTAACCGTATGTTCGTTCCTAACTGTCATGTTATCGAAAGCGATGAGAGGAAACGATCTCCGGTTTATTATTTTCTTCAGTATTACGGACAACCTTATCTCTACAACGAGTCAAACTAATACTGAATGTCCGGCAGTAGGGGATATCGATAATGTTTTCAATGGGGCCCAGGAGCCTGACAACCACTGACGAAGCCAGTAATGCTACCAATCTATTGCAGAGGGTTTGTTATTGAAAATATACCACATAGCATAAACAGATGGGTTATACTCATTACGTCGTTCGTGAAAACAAGCTAAACATTGAAAAGCTGAGAATCCGCCACCAATGAATAGTGTATGTTTGCTGTTTTGGTCATAAAAGGAAGCTTAAGCGCCATGATCAAAGAGTAAATGGGTAATTAACTGTTATCGTGCTCATTTTTTATGGGTCAAAGTTCACCGGTTGCAAAGTTAGATCTCTTTTACGGTATGTTGTCAGAAGGTACCTAATATCTCCACCCTTATGATAAAAAGTGCCTGAAAATTTCTACCTTCCTGTCCGAATTATTTTTGGATAATTCTCTTCCAGTTTGAGTTATTCGTACGCCCTAGGGAACTAGATTTCGACAACATTCATAGTCGCAGCATAATTTTCTCCCACAGTAAGTCCACACGTTCTTTCAAAATAGACATTAGACTTTTTAAATGAGCTTGTCAAGCTAATAACACTACTCTCTGTTTCAGGTAATCGATGAAGACAAGTCGCACCATCTGCATCGGCTGTATATTGCCATTTTACTCCCATTTTCAACTGTTATTTCCCTTGAGAAATAAAACTATTCTGTACAGTAAGTACAGACTTATTTGATTTGATGGAGAAAAGAGGGGTCATGGAATGTTTAGCAGGATTGTAGTGATCTCACTAAAAATCTAAGCGGATTCGTAGACCGATGTGCTGTGCCATACAGGGTACTCTTCAGTTACTAATGTTCTACTAGTATGGGTAGAGGCGTTGTTTGATCATAGAGCATTTGAGTACGCAACCATGAGATTAAACGCAGGAATGGTTGGGATATGTGTAACGCCTGTTCATCCATCAACTCCCGTGACATGTAATGGTGGTTAGAATACGCTGTGAGAGGGCCAAAGTATTTAGGTATTCCAAGAAAATAACGGTGTGTTCTACATCACTTACATTTATTACATATGAATTAGGTGCTGAGAGGCTCTTGTTTCACAGGTTTCTTATAAAGGTTAACTTGACAAAAAATAGCATCAGATTTTCAAATTTATTCAGAAAGTTTCATTACCAACGGTATATCAATGATATACACCATGTTTCCATTTAAAACCCGTGCTGTTAATATTAAGCTGTAGTCTGTCATATTTTTTAAACGAAAGGTAAAATGTTTTAAATGGTTCAAATGGTTGTGGACGGGATAGAGGAAGCTTTCGCTTAACGGGCTTCCGTGTCTAGTAGCAGTGGATCACCAATACCTCAAGGCGGGAACCTAATTATATTAACGATAATAGAGGGGGGAAAATGGTAAATCATATTAAGATATTATCTTTAGTCCTTGTAACGGAAAGAGAACGATGAAAATTCTTTCACAGTTTTTTTGTTGGACTGTACTCACATTTGTTTGTTTCTTCTCCCTGTCATATAATTTAAACTTTGTTTAGATCTCGTTTGAGCTTTTATTATGTGATTTTGATTAAAAACTTATCTTTTTGTTACCTAAATTTTTATTGCATGTTGCCTGCTTATTGACAGTGATGTCGTGTTTGACTAAGCTCCAGGTCACTGCGTGATTCCGTGTGACTGTTAACCTTGTGACTGTTTGCTTGAGAGGATTTCTGGAATCCCTGCAGATATTTGATCCCGTTTGTTGGGAATATATTTGTTGATTCTCAGGTATGAAATCCTTTGGTATTGACTGTTTCTCTTATTGTTTAGCGTACTACTTTGCGTTAAGGAAACTTCTGACTGTATAGCACAGGCTGTACCGTTTTAGGTATTTTGTATTTTTGATATAATTTGTTCTATTTCTTAAATTAGAGCCGTATAAATTGAGCACAGAGTTTGCGTTTTGATATAATTTAATACGAGTGTCTCAAAACGCTTAGTGGTCTATACAGAAGAGCGTAGTCTGACCTATTCGAATACGTTTTGGTTCGTCAGTCCTACGTTCAAACGAATACTGGCAGTTCGGTCATTTCAGTCCTTAAGAATAGGTCGAGTTGCTTCTTTATGGAGTCCTGGTAGGTTGCTTGTACTAGCTCAACCGGTACCAAATTCCAGCATTTGACAACTCTTAAAGAGTAGAAGTTGTGTCTACCATCCGTTCTGCGTTGTTTTGTCTTTAGTTTCTAGGCGTTACCCATTATGTTTGTGTTGGAGCTAAACTTAAGTAGGTGTTTAAGGGGATATCCAGAAATGTTAAGGATACTGTAAGCCATTAGGAGGTCACCTCCAAGATGACTATACCCTAATGGTTAAAGGTCTAGTGATTGAAGGCACTCTCCATAAGGCTTGAATTTGAGTCCCCGAACTTATTACATGGCTCGCCGAAATAAGTAACTTTAAAATAATGGAAGTGGTTGTGAGACCAAAGTGGACGTCCATCATGCTCTGGAGAAGCTATTTTTAGTTCAGTCCCCCGTTAACAGTTCCGTTTGGCCATAGTTCAAACGACGAAACAGTTTGTAATATCTATGAAGGCTCACTCCTGTTGCATTCTAAATGAAAAAGTAGTAATGGATCTATTCAAAAGTGTGGAATAGATAAACAAACATATTACATGCTTTAAGCAAAGAATTATACAGCTGTGATTTACCCCGAGTTCATAAATATAAGGTCAGATCATCTACTACAACTTTTGCAAAGCATAGCATGTGCATAGTACTGTATCGTACAGCTTTTATTATTTTGCTTCCATTTAAGTATTCTAAAGCATTTGTGTCTGGTTTTACAGAAAGATATACAAGTAGAGTTAGTGTCTGATAAACTAAAACTCCCAGTTGTCAAAAGAACTTTTAATGTTTTTCCACAGATAGCTGTATTTAATAAAGACTCAGAACACCCTTCATCCAGGAATAAATACCGCTGTTTTGCAGTAAATTAAAAGCACAAGCACTTAGTTATCCTGCTGCCGATGTTACCGCTAGAAAATTGTTTAATGACAGCGATATTGAAATATGGTTAGAGCTAGACTTACAGTCTACAAATAAACACCAAACATACTTATTGCTATCTCATAATACATGACAACAACAGAATCAAGGGCAATTTTTTCCTATTTCCAAGCAGACTGATTTGAATCAACATACTCATTAAGAGCAGGCAGCTCTACTTATTAAACTGATCTGCTTAATTACATGCTACAAGCGCCATACTTAAGCATAGCATAATTATGTCAAATAAAATTATGCCATGATCAAAAATACCAAACTAAGCAGGTGTCATAATTATTGTTTTATTTACACAGATATGTGACTCAAGGTAGTTAAATGTTGATAGCTAAGCCTGTAAACCCAGTAAGACATATATAACAGAAGACAAACAACATTCTTTTCAGACGGAAGTCAACAGTCACTCATAAAAACATAGTCTACAGCACAACAAATCTTTCTCCAGTAACATTATTTAAAAAATCAATTATGCGATCAAACTCACTATGGCTTAAGTTATCATCCCAGCATGCAGTGCACATATGGCGTAACGCTGTCAAACGTGGAAAATCAGAATTACAACCAGAGAAAAATCCGCAGCATAATCTGGTTCTTTAATAAAAAAATACATCATAATATGACAAATTCGATGACTAAATGAACGTTGACATGACCGTTGTTGCACTGGGTGACACATTAGGTGTACGTGGAAACTTTGTGTCTAGATCCACCTCATTCAGTGACCCAACTGCCGGAAGATTTAGCTAAAACCCAGTGACATTTCAATGGCCTTACATTCTGAAATGGAGTAGGAGGAGAGGAATAAACCAATCTGTTCTAAGAAATAAATCTTACTCAGATTGCTTCTGACGGTTAAAATTACATGCTATGGAGTACGGAAATCCAGGGAGAGATACGGTGGCGATGTTTCATAGTGTCCACCTTACCTCACTTGCATCAGACCTAGGGCTGAGTACTTTGTACGTAATTTGTGTTCAACTCATTTTACTGATATTTGTTTCTTGAATATCCACCAAGAATAAAAACAAAGGATGCGATTTGTAGAAACGGTGAACGCTACCGTGATCACTGCGATATAACATTAAATCATCAATAAACAAAACCGTCGATGCAAAGTTTTCGGACCAAAAATCTTTGTTTGTAGTACTCACGCTTGCAAGGTCACAGCGTTTGCGACGATTCAAAACGCAAAGAATTAAATGTAATGTTACATGTTTTGTTTTTCACTCTGAGAACTTAATTTTAATGACCTTTCCTACTGAATTTCCCCTATTTACCTTCAATATTAACGTCCGTGCATTCCAAACTTTTCCGGGTTAGTAACAGGCTTTCTCTACTAATACATGTCAGTATACTGTACATGTTGTTCTGTCTATATCAAAGATACTTTAGATCTTCTGAATACTTCATGGCGGCGTATTCTCAACCTATGTGAAAAGAAACTTCACCACTGATTTTGGGATCTCAATTTCTATGAGAACGAATTTCTATTTGCTTGTAAAAAATGATCTCGATTATTCTTCATTTTTTTGAGAAACAAAAATGGTGAACGATGCGACGAAGTTCCTGTTACTTGTCGGTCTAACTAGGTATTCGTATTTCAAAAGCGCTTTTGATGAAGAACTTTTAAACGACTTTTTGTCATATATATATATATATATATATATATATATATATATATATATATGATTGGTTTAGCGCACTTTTTACTTTGTATCTCTATAGGTCTTTAGTACCTAATTATATTCACGATGTTTAGCGAGACTTAGACCTTGACGCCTACTAAATCCCATTCCCAAACTGTTCTTTTGCTTCTGTTATGATCCTTTTCATGACCATTACAAATATTATTTAGGACTAGGGGATTATATTGGAAACTCTAGTTGTTTAATTATTCTTATGCTTTCGTTATTCTAGAGCTTTCATGTTATACAATAATATGACACCGACAGGTCTTACTGTCTTCCTTTAATTTTGAGATGTGCCATGATAAATCAATCCGGTCTTGGTTAATGGTCGTCTGATGATAATTTTAAGAATGTCCAATAAGTCGTAAGTATTTTAAATTTATCCCGTTACCTAAATCTGTGCAATTGAGATGGTTGGAACGTCAAATGTTCTTGCAGCACCCTTTATCACATGCTCTATTCTACAGTTTTTCCAATTACGCATTTTTAAATACCAATTTTTCCTTCGTGTATGCACCACGTCACTGATAAGCACCAGTGTAATAAATTAGCAAGTCTCTCGAAACTACTCATAATTACATATTAAAACTGCTTTAAGTCGTAAAACCTTTCGGCCAAGTGATTTTATTTGACAGAACTTAATTTTATTCGTGGATGTATTCAGCGTTAAGCTACGTACAACACCCGTGTGTTTTTGACTTGGGCAAACTAGTTTTTGTGTTACTTGTAATGTTTTTTTTCGCTTTAAAAGTCAATGACCTAGGATTCCCAAAAATGCACTTTTTGACCAACGTGCATGGAGAACTCGGCCTGAATGCTTTTGTTTGACTGGTCTGATAAAAAAGTTCATGAGGCAAGATAATCTCTGGTTTTTTTGGATCCTGAGAACAGCTTAAAAAGAAATTTCACCAAACTAATTTTTTAAACGGAAGTCAAAAACTTGAAAGAATTCGTAGCAAAGTCTAATTCGTTACATTTCCTTGAGTACTTTCGCGACGTTGAGAGATGTTACTCTCTCGGTTGCTTGCACTTTTGAGGAACACTTTTCATTGAGGAGCGTAAAAAGGGAACTGGTCCCGGCGTAGGACTGTGACCTCAGAGTTTGGAATACAGCTTCTGTAGATCAGTCACGCACTGCTTTTTTGTAACTAGTTGTAGATCTGTTGACCTCGAGTTTTTAAACTCTGCCACCAGCAGCGAAAATCTACGGACGAGATTTTCTGTTTCTAGGGTCGATCTTTTCTAAAGCCCTCATTCTATCGACAAAAAGCAGGATCTTTGTAAAGAAATGTCTTACCTCAATTTAACCCCTGTACCGCCAGTAAAATTTCAGTCTTGGACCCTTAGTTTACCGCTTTTAGATCAACCACTCGCTGACCGACATTCTTGAAATGATAGATTCCGGAAAAGATAGTGTTCCAGCTAATTTAGCTCAACTGAGTCATCACGATATTCAAACCAGATCACCACGTCAAGGTAGCAGTTACAATCTGGGTTCGTTACTTTCAGAAAACGATGGTTTGGGATTGCTGTTAAGGCTATTGCATTAGAGTAATTTGGTCACCTTTTTATCTGGTTCTTTACTGACTTTTAATCCTTCCACTGAAAAGTAGCAGTGAAGATCCCTTTGCGATACAGCTACAGAGTGGTTAGCTCGAAATAATCTCCACTCATCAGTTTCTCATTCATTCAGTGCTTATTTCATGCTGCCGAATACTTAGTGCAGGTGGTTCATTTTTATTTCAGTTTTCGTGTAAAGAGTTAGCTTAGTAGCCAGGATGTTCAACACTAAGATGCTTGTTTTAAGGTTTAAACCATACTAAATCTTTGGTTTGACCAGACGGATAGTATCACTAGCCCTCACGCTTGGAGTGTGGATCAAAGTCAGGTACATGAATCTGTACCTGGTAAGTCCGTTATTAAAAAGCGAAAGGAATGTCCGTCTTTATTTATCTTATAAAAATCAGATACTTATGCTTAACTGCAAAATAATAACCGAATATTGAGTTGAATTAGTGTTTATGAAAAATTAACTGGTGAGTTAGTTTCACGTCGGCAACGTTGATAATGCTGTTTGCTTTGTAAATTTTACGATGAATGTACATCTGTTTTGTAATTATTGTTACTATCAATTCTGTCTTGAGTTCTGTTAGAGGTATGATGGCGGTTGTCACTTCCCGGTTCTTCTGGAGGTACCTGAAAAGGAAATTGGATTAAAGGTGGTCTTAGTGACCTGAGAGTGTGACCGCAGTGCCCAAGAGACAACTGCTTGAGGTCAGTCACACACGACCTTTTTCTGAGTAATTTTCGTGTTGGCTCCGTACTTGTTGAGACCTTGCTACCGGAGACGGAAATCCATGGGATAAGGCGAGGTGTGCATTTTTAGGGTCGACCTTTTCTAACCCCACCGCTCCTTGTGGGAAGGCAGCATCGTTGTTATGCTGGTTGTCTGAAGGAAAAACCTTACTGCCGTCACACCTCTGTACAGTCAGCAGTACGACTTAGCCTTTGGACCTTGGGTTTGTTGCTTTTATCTTACCGTTCTTCAACCAGCCTGTCTTACATTGTAGGACCTTGGGTAATGATTGTTTCAGTATAACTGGATTGGTTCATCACGATAGGCATGCCCAACCACCACGTTAAGGCAGCAACAACGGTCGGGCTGGCCTGTGTCAATACCTGAACTAAGGATAGAGAGTAAAGTAGTCGAACGCGTTGACAACTTCACTTATCTTGGAAGTCTGATCATCCCTAATTGGTTGGTGTCTGACGAAATCTCAGAGCGGATTCGAAAAGCTCGTCTGGCTTTTGCCAACTTATGTCAACTGTGGTGAAGGTGAGATATCAGTTTATCGATTAAGGGACGAGTATACTGCGCTGCAGTTTGTTCTGTTCTACTTTACGGCTGCCAAATGTGGCCATTAAGAGTTGAAGATACTCGTAAGCTGCTAGTATTTGACCACAGATGCCTTAAAAATATTGCTAGCTTCTGCTGGGATCACCGGGTAAGTAACAGTGAAGTTAGACGCAGGGTATCAGGGAGTGATGCTAAATCAGTTGGTGAGGTTGTGAATCTTCATCGACTGAAATGGTTGAGCCAGGTGTTACGTATGCTTGAACACCGATTACCACGACGCGCAATGCTAACTGGTGTTGTGGACGGTTGGAAGAAAGTTAGGGGTGGCCAAGCCAAGACGTGGCATCAGTGCTTGAAGTCACTAACTTCTGGTCCGAGCCATGTTGGTAGATGTAGACTACTTGGTTGGGGTCCGTGTGACTATCGTAACCAACGGTTGGAGACTCTTGGTGACATGGCTCAGAATCGACCGCAATGGCGTCCGTGTACACACTCTCTGTCTTCCCTTAAACTATGAGATTGAAATCACTCCATATCTTTCCTTTTATGAACTAATTCTCTCTTCCTGTACTATATCCTTATATGCAATCCTTCTTTTATATATTACTACCATTGAATTAACTGCTTCATCTTGTTGTTCTAATGAGGTATGGCAACTTGGGCCTATGCATATATGTGCCTAGTCCTACGTTATAGCTGACTGACTGACTGACTATCAATTCTTCGGGGATCAAAAGTTCGATAAAGTTTAAATCAAACAATTGTACGGTAATGTTTCACAATCTTTTAACTGATATTATTTTGCAACTCGAAAAAATTGTCGACTTATTAGGCTTGTCAACGATTTTATATGTTCAACTAAATTGTTGGGAAATGAATTCTTTGGCATTTCTGGTACCTTATTGTTCATCAAAGGCTAGACAAACTCCTTGGTAGTATTATTAATTAACATTTTTGTATATGAAAAATCGTTAAGTGTCACTTAGTTTTTGTAGTCGGTTTATACACATTTGACTTTGTAATACAGCAAAAATATGAAGTACTTTCAGGACGAAAGCGAGAGTATTGGGTTGTTAGTCGAATGGAAGATTATATAGCTCAGTGTTATCATTCTTGATAATTATTTAGTTTTGATATTACTGTTTTCTGATCGATTCAGATTATCCGAATCATATATATTTAAGATTTCCAGATTAATCCAGTCTTGTAACATATTCAAATTTTACATAGGTTGGACTTCCTTTGTTGTTTTATTTTTCAGATAATCTTTTGGAATTTTTTCGTATTATACATTAGTTTATTTGAATTGTGCTTATTATCCTGGTAAATGACATCTTGAATGAATTCAGTGACCAGTTCAAATAAAATTTACCATGAACGTCAATCTAAAATGTTTTGTGCATTGCATGCGCTGAATAATGTATTTCAGGATAAAATATTTTCAAAACATTGCTTAGATAAAATAGCTGATAATCTTAATAGCAATTCACTTATTAATCCACATAGAAATGTATTTGGACTGGGGAATTATGACGCAAATGTGTTAGTTATTGCTCTTCAACAATGTGGTTATGATATTGTTTGGTGTGATAAACGCAAAACAATAGCTGCGCATAATCTAAATTTTGATAATATTTTCGGATATATATTGAACACATTTTCTAATCGTCGTATTTTTAACTTAACATTACCATATTCAGGAAGTCATTGGATTGGTTTACGAAAATTAGAGCATGATGATAAATATTCATATTTTAATTTAGATTCTAAATTATGCGAACCGGTTGTAGTTGCGTCAACGGATGATGAATTTGTTAATTATTTAGAAGGACGTCTTAGAGAGTATCCAGAGACTCAACTTTTATTTGTCGTATCCAATGAAGTGCTTCAGCAACGATCTTGGACGCATAATAAACAATAAGTACAGTTAATGACGATCTAATTTTTTGTACGTTTACAGTGATACTTTCCGATCAATAATATACATTTGCTTAAAACGTCCTTTTTTCTTACTTGCCGTATTTATAACAAACAACAGCTATGGAAGTAAACAATCCGTTTGGTTGTTGTTAGATCTAAAACACCAACGCTTATCCTGAAATCATGATCATCCATTCAGAAAAGTCAGTCTGTTTCCAGAGTGAGGCCTTGATTTATCGAACTAATTTAAACCGTTTTTTAATTTTTAAAATAAAATTCTGGTTATTAACTTACATTTTTCCCAGGCTCTTTGTGGATCAAACATACTGGCGATTAAAACAATTTAAGAAGGAAACCGATTATACCATCGAAAAAGAAATAAATACAATTTAGCAAAGAAAATGTTTTCATAAAACCATTAACTTAAGCTGTATGGTCGTATTTATAGAGATTCAACAGTTATAAAAGTTTATTAACAAACAAAATGATTAGTTTAGTGTCCGAAACCTTCATGCGTCACAAGCTGGTTGTACTACTATCTAAAGGTTAAAGGCGAACAATAATAAGCGAACGAAGATAGGAGAACTAAATGTTCACTTTACAAATATAAATAAATGCCATCACCAAATAGCTAGTTAAAACTCTGTTACCAGTCAGAAATCAACTCAATAGATACATCACTGTTGATTCATTGTCAACGTTACCGTAAAGTTGATGACGTCACTAGATATTGCAGCTATTTTTACAAATGTACCTCTAACGCAAACAATCTGTCTACTATGTGATCATATTGTATGTAACAAACTCGATGTTGATGTTCCAATACACTTTCAAGAAACTACTCCGATGCACTTGCAATGTCCAATTTCAATTCAACAATAATTCCTATAGACTAACGGCGTTACTACTCGGTCCACTTCTAGCTGACTATTTTATTGCTAATCTCGGAAACACTACTTAGACCGATGAATGACAGCTTCTATCTATACAAGAGATACTTAGACGACACTTTCATTATTTGTGAAATCAATATCAACGTTAACGACATCCTTAATGCGTTCAATCACTGCCATCAATCAATTAAGTTCACAATGAAATCAGAATGGGGTTCAGGATTCCACTTCTTAGATGCTTTGGTAAAAAAGAGACCTGACGGTTCTCTACAAAGATTGATATATAGGAAGCCAATATGGAATGGTTGGTACACTAATTTTCAAATTTGGGTCTCACTTAAGCAAAATAGGAACCTGATCCATTCTCTCTGTACGAGGGTTGGACGTATCCGTGCTGAGGATACAATCGATGTTGAACTTGACAAACTAAGGCAGATACTGCTTAACAGTGGATATACACCTAGATTCATTGAAACAAATCTGAAGCCAAAACAACGACGCGAAAGATTGTCCACTGCACCAAAGAAAACTTTCTTCATAAACATTCAATTGAAAGGAGATACTACAGCAGTAATTTTGGAAAACAAACTTTCAAGATCTAGGAGGAAAACGTGCTATTCGATTGAACTTCGCATTATCTTTTCTAGATGGCCTGTGATTCGAAGTTGTGTGAAACAAGCTCCCGCTTAGGGCCAGATCGATGTGCATCTACTAGTTTACTTGCTCATATGGAGCAGGTTATACTGGTCACACAAAGCGATCTCTTTCGAAACCCATCTCCGAACATTACCCTGATTGGCTCTCCAAAGGGTTACAGAGGCCAGTTGAAAACTCAATCTTTAAGCATCTAGTCAAGTCCGGCCACTCCACTTCACCAGAAACCTCCTTCAGAATCATTTATACAGTCAGAAGAGTTGGCTCAATAGGAGTGCAACTGGAAAACTCACGTACAGAAGAGTCTATTGCGTTCCATCAGTTTAAGCCTAACCTTTGCGTACAAAGACAATATGTTCAGTCCCTTATTCTTCCATGGCCCTAAACTTTTCTATCTCCCATAATCTATCGTTTTTATTTATCTTATTCCTACTCTTTTCCAATTATTCTTACAATTATTAGTTAGCAGTTATCACAACTTTTAAGAATTCTATTCTTAATGGCTATCAGGTAGACAATTATTTCACCTTACCACTTTCTCACTAGCCCATTATTACATAACTTCCTTTCAATATCTGATTTTCAGATCTTGACAACGTATAACATCAAGCTTTTTAAAGAATGAGCACCTTCCTATCCTACTATAGAACACTATTTTGGTAAATAAAATTAACTATAAATACGATTGTACAGCTTAAGTAAATGAGATTTTCGAAAAAGAGATTTTGCTCGCTGAATCGCCTTCCTTATTCAATGACACAATGGGCCATTCTCGTTTTTTAAATATAAGGTTAAAGAGTAATAGGGAATGTGAAGGTGATAATAACTGATTGGTAGGTATGGAACACTAGATGATATTAATAACAAACTTCCGATTGTAAAAAATTAATTGGTATGGTCTTAGTAGATTGAGACATTGTACTTGTTTCCATTACACATAGAGTTCGAAAGTAAACTTTTGGTTTGCTGAGACCGATTTAGTACATACGTCTTCAGTTTGTGTTCCCCTTGAGCACAAACATATGTATCGGTGATTTGGGGAGATATTTCTGATAGTACAATGTAACAAGGATTAAAAAGTGTCCCTGTATTGAGCAGTCGATTGCTTTTTGTTTTTCTTCTTTGAAAGCCATTCAGAGTTATGCATTTATAAACGCTCAATTTGCGCGGCTGATGTAATTTTCACAAATAATTTCACATTGTGACCCAAAGCAGGCGTTTATCCTCAACTTGTTCAAGAATCAGAGGCTGGGTGGTGAAGGCAGTACATAGCTTGTCAAAGTAAAATGCTTTTTTAAAAGATTTTGGAAGTCGTATTTTAGGATTTCTGTTACATTATTTCCTTTAAATTTAATATTCTTGAAGTGAGTTAGATCAAATCAATTTCTCACGTATATGCGACACATTATGATTTAATATTACTTAATAGAATTCTCTTTACCTTATAATTCTGACGTACTCCCCTGTTCGTCTTCTTAAAAGCCAAGATACTTTTTGCGCATATGTTATTCGAAAACTTTGACTAAAAGAAATGCCACATGACAATCAAGTAAGAAAAAATAAATATTTTCCGAACATGTTACAACTAAATTCTATAAACAGGGTCGCTGTTGAGGCGATAGTGTAACAAACTAACATTGTGGGCATAACTGTGGTTTTAAATTATTTATAGCTAAAGTTTCCGCTGTGTAAGTTATGTTATTCTGGTAATATCCTGTAAATGATATCGATGGAAGGAGCTGGAACTGAATGTCCTGAATCTACTTCATGGCGCAGCATAGAAGTTATAATTGATCCGCCATGGCCCTTTCCAAGCCATATTCGCGGATGCTCTTCAATTGGACGAACAATATTCTTTGTTAATTGTACGTTTTGATCCTATGTTTAAGAATAAGGAGTGTTAAGCGTCCGATTGTAGCTGTATTGTGGGACAACAGTATGTTATAAGTTAATGTAAGTATCCCAAATTAAGGAAGTTCATATCCGTATTTCTCACATAAATCTCAACATCCTTTTAGATATTTGATAGGAATTATTTCTTAAAATCCATTGTGTAACTAATATGTTAGGGAGTTTAATGGAACCTGTCTTTCCTTGAAATCAATTAAGATGTTCTGATTTAGTATTTAAAATTTCTTATATAAAATAATTTTGAAGTGAATGTTACATACATCCAAATGAATTTTTATTTTCCATATTCTATAGTTTCCTTGTGCGTTTGATTTTTTAGATCCCTTTTCCATAATACAAAGCTGAATCGTAAGCTTAAAACTTCAGGTATTCTAAAAAGTTTCTGTTAACTTAATTCCACACTAATAAGTTGCCATATTTACTGCTTTCTCACGTGATCCACTCATCTATCTCCAGATACAGTTTTTTTATTTTGTACCATACTTAACAAAAAACTAAACTTATTAATTCAAGGGTTTAGTAAACTTTCTTGTGACCAAAATATCTACGAATTCAATTTCTTTATATACTGGATTAAATCATATTTGTCTTTTTAATAATTAGCCTGGGCAAAGGGATAACGCATACGGTAAAAATGTCACCTATTTCAACTAAATGAAATAAAGAGCAAAATAGCGAACACACTGACCAGTGAAAAGTGTCAGGGTTTTTATTGATATGGTTCTCAAACGAGTGTCTTATAACTTCAGTCCGTCAACTTTTCAGAGAGCCTTTTCATTGAATTTGTACGGAATCGTATTAATAACCTGAAGACTGACCCAAGTATACTCTAATGCTTTTTAGAGCCAGTCCTATTGGAAACATCAGTATAACTAATATGTTATTTAGAAACAGGAAATACATTAATGCCTCATTACATTTTTAATGACATATTCTTAAATCTCGATGGTCTATGGGCTTACTAGCCAAAATGATGCATTAAAATTTCAAAGTGGTTTCAAGTTTTGCTAAAATTTTATATATTACGACAAAGTTATTAACTTTATCGACATTTAGAGAACAGACTGCACATTATTTTTTAAATACGCTGTTAAATTTAATTGATACAAATAGATTTTTTTCTTTTATGTCAATAGGTTTTAGAGTAAGTTTGGGAAATTTCGCCACTTATCTTTTTTTAACAATTGGAGGATCATTTTTTAAATGTTTGAATATCTTCAACATCAATAGGATAATTACTAAATCCAACACTCAAAACTATGTGCAATTTGACTGATAAATTTTCGCATTTTGCTGACTTCCTAGAAGTCTTCTGCAGTTAAGATAATTTTCGGCATGTGGCAAGATTAATTGGTGGACTTTGGAATGCACTACTACCGATATATATGGATATTCTCTGATCTTTATAATCATTCCCAGCAGTTAGTCGGTTCGATTCATACTAAAATAAATTTTCAGTAAATTAACAGAATGAATGTTGTTAGTACATGAATTAACTTATTTTGTAATATATATAAAAAAGTATGAAATAAATATCAATAATTTATGTGGTGATATAATAACATATTGCATCCTTTTAAAGTTTAATGTTTAGCGAACATGTAGATGTACATGCCTTC